CAGCTCTTTCACCAAGGTGGCCCTTGACCCCAGGTCAGAGTGTGCTGTCAATATGTAAGAAGGTACTACCCTTGAATGTGTGTACCCTTTTGCTGGGACACAGACCGCACCCAAAGGTTTTCTTCAGGAAAATCGAAGGAACATTTCTCAGTTCATTGACCCTAAGAGATGATTCTGAATTACTTCCACTCATGAAATAGGAGAGTATTGTTTTTCAGTCTGTAAATGGAGACCTAAGGAAGAACAAAATCCAGAGTAAAAAGATTCAAGTTTTAGATGCTGCCTTGAACATTTTCTCAAGATCCCCAAGTCTGCGATGTTGCAATCTGGACTGTATTCTAGCTAGCAAGGATTCAAGGGTTCAGTCCACGTGGCACAAAGGATTTTAAAGAACAATGAGAAAAATGTGTACATTAAATGCCTCTGCACACACACTCCTGATTTTGAGTTTGCCATGAGTTGGACACGGGCCTTGTGTTCTTTCACCTAAGTGGGAAATAAACCAAAAGAATGTCTCCCAAGGGTTACTAACATCTGTGAGAGATAGAAAGAATAGAGGTAAGGTGTAAAGAACCCAGAAAAGCGAGATATGCCCATTAAAGAACGAAACAGAAGGAAGGTATAGTTATGGCTAAGGAAGTTAAATGGAAGGAGGATGTTTGTATTTGTTTTTGATGAGAGGTGAGCTGCTCCGTCAGGCAGGTCTAGAAGGAAGTCTTCATACAAACCAGATAGGAATAAGATTGTAGTTGTAGGGGGCACTCTGGTCTGGCTGGCATGGCACCAGGCGATGGGAGCAGGCCGGAAAGTGGGTTCTCTCATGGCCACTGGGTAATGTCCAGTGTCCTCTTGGAGAACTATATAATGTATGTGAAAGAATTTAATGTGATTACTGCCTCCATTTTACAGACGATAGCACTGAAATGTGGATACATAATGTTACATCATTCATGGGCAGCTGAGCTGGGATTCAAACTTGTGTCCCCCAACCTGTATCCCATGCTTATGCAACAGTGTAGCATAAAGAAAACTGAAGCTCTCAGGCATGAACTCCCTCAGATGTCTTTATGTACATCTTCAAATTTATCTTTTTTGACCCCCTCCTCTCCTCCTATCTGGGGGAGCTGATTCTATTGTGTTCCTAAAAGTTCTCTCAATTGTCCATGAGAGGGTTATCTATTCTCCTTTATTCACATTTCAACTGTCTACAGATGCCTCTCAAGTAATCATTCTCTGAGCTCCAGTTGTTTCTAATGACTAGGTAAGGGTATATTTTCATGGTAATACACCTTTATATATACCATATCCAACTCCCCCATGCCCTCAGCTCTCTGCAACTAATTGTCTGTTTTATTTCCAGCAATTCTCTATACTTTTAATCATACTGATTTGAAATGTTGTTCATCTTTTCTGTACTTGTAGACATTGTATTTATTTAAGAATTAGCTCAAATGTTACATTGGTAATAAATATTTCTCCAGTTCTTCCAGTCAGATTTAATGATATACTCTCTATATTCCCAAAGACTTTGCTTATGAGAATAGCACATCACTTATCACATGAAAAATTTATTTGTCTTCATCTCTGTTTCAACTTATGGGCTGTCAGCACAATAAAGACAAGATGAGAATGTTATTTATCTCCACATACCTTGAAGTAATAAGCATGGCCCTTCAGTGTATGTTGAGAGAATGAATGGTGATTGAGTCACTGCTCCAATTTTCCAACATGCCCAAAGAGGGCATGATCTGATTTGGGGTTATGTTTTCTTTTTTTTTCTCATCGTAAATCTTCACTATTATCCTGGGAATTTATCTGCCTGTTTAGTGAAAACACTGAGTTTTAAATTAAAAAAATATAAATCTACTATATAAAAATCATGGAAAAGGAAAGGGAGTGATACCTAATTTTTCTTGGAAAAGTAAATATATTATGTCACTTAGGTGACCAATGTTACAGATGAGCATCAAAAATATTAAAATTTATATTTATAAATCAAAACTATAAGATAATAGGAATTGATCTATTAATAAATATTTATGTTCACATATAACACAACAGTAAACTTCATTAGATTGGAATAATGAGTTTGGGGAGGTAGGGGGAAAAAGAAGCTAGCCTGAATTATGGAAGTCAGAATTTACTGAAAGCAATACAGTTTTATTATTTTCAGTACTATGATCTGCCAATAAAATCTGATTAAGGAGACACGTACTTAATGACATGGATTCTTATTTTATAGCTGAAACTTTTTGCCTAAAGACCATGTGCTAAAGGCAGGAAATCAATTATTCTTTTACAAATAAGTTACAACTTCCGGTCAAGATGGCGGGTAGGTAAACGCGGTATCGCCTCCCCCCACAACCACATCAACATTACTACTAAACTACAGAACAACCATCATTCAAAGCCACCTGAAATTAAGCTGAATGGAAGTCCTACGACTACGGAATTAAAGAAGCAGCCATATGGAGACTGGTAGGAGGGGCAGAGGCGGAAGGGCTGGTCCCACACCCATGAGTGGCGAATAAAAATCAGGATTCCTCAGCTGAGAAGGTCCTTCCTGAGGACTGAGGGGCCCCCGTCCCACACCAGATGCCCCACTCAGGGTTCCAGTGCCAGGAAGAGAATCCCCATCGCTTCTGGCTGGAAAAACCAGCAGGAACTGAGGTTCAGGGAGGCTGAGGTGGCTGGAGCCCCAGGCAGCTCTTCTTAAAGGGCCCATGCATGGACTGACCAGGACTTGCTCCCTCTAAGCTCAGAGGGGAAGCAGATTGAGGGGAGCCAGAGACATACAGGAAAGAACTGAGCTATTTGACATTGGAGCGAGGGCTGAAGAGGTGGCTTTCTCTTGGACAGACATGCTGTCAGAGGCCTTTGTTCCTTTGTTCCTGGGGCGGCAGACAGCCACCATATCTGGAACTCCAGCAACTTGGTTCACACTATTTACCCCGCCCTGGTGATTCCCTGAGGCCCCGCCCCACACAACTTTCATGCCCACCCAAGCTGTTGCCAGTTGCTTTACCATAGGATTGACCTGTCTTGGATCCTGCTTCAGGTTTTCCTAAATTCTTTCAAACAAGCAGCATCTGATCTCAGCTAGCCCCATACCTCTCGTTAAGTAACACATAGAAACAAACACAGGGAGGCAGCCAAAATGAGGAGACAAAGAAACAGGTCCCAAATGAAAGAACAGAACAAAACTCCAAGAAAAGAACTAAGCGAAAGGAAGATAAGCAACCTAACAGATGCTGAGTTCAAAACACTGCTTATAAAGATGCTCAATGAACTTAGTGAGAACCTCAGCAAACTTAGTAAGTGCCTCAAGAGCTTAAAAAAAGACCAGTCAGAAATGAAGGATGCATAGTCAGAAATGAAGAAGGCACTAACTAAAATAAAGAATAATTTACACAGATTCAATAGTAGAGTAGGTAAAGCCAAGAAGCAAACCATCACTTCGTAATATAAGGAAGCAAAAAACACCCCATCAGAACAGCAACAAGAAAAAAGAATCCAAAAAAATGAGGATAGTGTAAGGAGCCTCTGGGACAACTTCAAGTGTGCCAACATTCACATCTTGGGGGTGCCAGAAGGAGAAGAGAGAGAACAAGAAATCAAAAACCTATTTGAAACAATAATGGCAGAAAACTTTCCTAACTTGGTGAAGGAAACAGATATACAAGTCCAGGAAGCACAGAGTCCCAAACAAGATGAACCCCAAGAGGCCCACACCAAGACACATCATCATTAAAATGCAAAAGGTTCAAGACAAAGAGAGAGTCTTAAAAGCAGCAAGAGAAAAGCAGTTAGTTATCTACAAGAGAGTTCCCATAACTGATTTTGAGAAATCAGCTGATTTCTCAAAAGAAACTTTGCATGCCAGAAAGGAGTGGTAAGAAATATTCAGAGTGATGAAAAGCAAGAACCTACAACCAAGATTACTCTATCCTACAAAGCTGTCATTTAGAATCGATGGCCATGTAAAGAGTTTTGCAGACAAGGAAAAGTTAAAGGAGTTCATCACCACCAAACCGTTATTATATGAAATGATGAAGGGTCTTTTTGAAGAAAAAGATAAAATATATGAACAAACAAAATGGCAATGAATACATATCTATTGACAATTGAATCTACAAACAAAATGAACAAGCAGAACAGAAACATTCTCATAGATACAGAGAACATTTTGTTGGTTGCCAGATGGGAGGGGGGTTGGGAGAATGGGTGAAAAAGGTGAAGGGATTAAGAAGTACAAATTGGTTGCTAGACTGACAAAGGGAAGGGGAGTTGAGGGGTGGGAAGAAATAAACCAAAGAACTTATATGCATATATGCATAACCAATGGACACAGACAACAGTGTGGGAAAAGCCTGGGGGGGGGGCAAGGGTTGGGGGGGCATGGGTTGGGGAGGGGGTCAATGGGGGAAAAATGAGGAACATCTATATAAAGATAAGTTTTTTTTTTTTTTTTTAAATAAGTTACAGATGTTGCCTCTATTTTTCAAATCCATTCCTTGCATACAATTCAAAAGTAAATTTCATGGTAGTCTTGGTCCAATAGCAAAAAATTGTGCATTAGCAATATCTGAATTAGGAATGTTTGACTGTATTCTTAGAGGAAGACATTTCTGGAAATAAAGTCCAGTGTCTCAGGTAAGTATTAAATACTTTTAATGAAAAGCAGAAAAAGTGCAAACTTTTCCAAATAATAGAAATATTAATTATTCATTAAGATACATATAACTAAAATTTATCTTAAAAGTCTTTGGTTTCCTCTGTAAATTTCATGAGGGCAAGGATCATAGTTTGCTTGCTTCTCTCCCACACCCTCCAAGATTTTACACCCCAACAATACAACCTAGGCTGTGCCTTCTGGTGACAGGTATCATCATAAGAGCAGGTGTTTAAAAAGTGACACTATGAAGTTTTCAGATATTACAGTGATTGCTCTGCTTATCTATAACTATCCAAGACTCAAACATTACAGAGAGTTTACTCACTGATTCTGGATACAGGCTGCAAGTAATTTACTGGCCTCCATCCTAGAAAAGAAGAGAAAGAAAATTCATATATTAGCATCACATCCAAAGTCATTTAAAAAATGTTGTACATAAAGATACCTCAGAGCCTCTAATGTTTTATTTCTAACACAGAAAACCATGGGGAGGTTTTTGAAATAGAATATGTCATCCCTGTGGGTTAATGAAGAGGTGATGGCTTGGTGTCACTTACTAGGAAACCGGACATTATCTTCAAACTTTGCCCCAGGAAAGACTGAGCTTTCTGCCTGTTTCCTCTGTGTCAGAAAAAGGAGCTGGGGACTGGTGAGGTAGGTGGAGTTGCAAACTGTCCGTTGCTGGGCTATTTGCAATCTACTCCATAGCACATCAGTGTGTCGATACACAATTATAACTTCCGCTTGGAATCATTGAGTACTTGCGATAGATCTTTGGGTAAAATTGGTACTCGGGATAGATATGCCATGTGTATCTTTTGGCATTGAGTGTCCAGTGGCCCTGAAGTTAGATACCTTAGTTTGTGAAAGCTTCAAAGAGAAATGAACTGAAAACTATGATAAAAGAAATAGACTATTTGAGGGAAGTGATCTCAAGCATATTTAAATCATCCAGAACTAATGGTAGTTTATTCTGTAGTGAAGAGCTCTAAGAAAGAAATCTTGGGGTTTGGTTTCCTTGAAGCAATGATTTTTCATCCTGGTAATCAAGAAGAACGTCCTTCTGAAGTTGCTAAAGGTAGCAGAGTGTATTTCTCTTTTTTTCAGTCACCTACGGGGAGAGAGTAGAGCCTGAGCTCATTCTGAGAACAAACCAGGAAACTGCAAGGTGGTAATTACGTGACGCTTCAGCTTTCACTTTCTAGATCACACAGTTCCAATTCTTCTCGTAAACAAAAGTTATAACTATATCTTGTATACTGTGTACTATACCACATGTTTTATGTAGTATATACTTGTAATATGAATATACATTGCATGCTAAACTATGGATTAATATATTCTATTCTATATTATATACACGTATATGTAAGTTTTGCTTTCTGTATGCTGTCTTGTTTTTTAAAATTTCTCTTTCTGAGTATGCTAATGAAAAATTTGAACAAGTACTGAAGAAGGATGAGGCTTAAGTATTGGTAGGATTAATGTTCTGTCCTGCTGTTCTGCTTCATTTAAACAAACTACTATCCATGCAACTCACTTAGAATATTGCTTTTCTAACCCTAATTGAGACAATGATCCTATTGGCACTTGCTTTTTAAATCAAGCTTTCACTAAATTGTATTTGTTTTAAAATACACCAGTTTATACTTATGTCAATGAAATGTTATCTTATCTTTAGAATGATTTAAAAAATACATCTAAGGATATTTCTAACGATATTGTCATGAGTTTCCTGGCTTTAGCTCCACTTGGTTTAGTACCTTCTGCATTTTGAATGAAGGTATTTATAAGTCATTTGTATAGCTCATCAAAAAATTATGAGTCCTACAGTATAACTGATCCCCATGGGTTGGAACTTGATAGGTAATCTACTGCTTCAATCCACTCTGATGTAATTGCATCTCTATAGTTACTTGTCCACTCATGTAACCGTAGCATGATTAAGGTCACGCTTTCGTGGCTTCATGATAAGAATATTGTTTAGGCTAGATCTCAAAATATTCCTTCATACAAAACTGATTTTATCCAGCACTTTCTCATTGTTTATGTAATCTGACATGTAACCATGGAAGAAAATTAAATTCATGTGGAAAAAATAACTATTCAAAAAGTCAAATGCAGCTGCTTCCTTATCTCTTAGGATATTCTGGTAAGTTGCTTATTGATTGCATGAGGAATAGTTCTCAGGTATGGCTTTTAAGCTCTCTGGCCTATAACAATCAAGTTATTTCCTTAAAAAAATGTGGGCATGACAGGTTTTCCCCCTCCATTTCCAAGATGGTTCAAATAAAAAGGATGTAAGGTCATCTACTATTTATTTTTATTTATTGTGATAAAAAACAAAAACATGAAATCTACCCTCTTAACAATTTTTTTCATGCACAATACAGTATTGTTAATGATAAGTACAATGTTGGACAGAAGATCTCTAGAATTTTTTCATCTTGCGTGATGAAAACTCTATGTCCACCGAATAACAATTCTACCTAGCTTTTGGAAACTGCCACCTGCCAATTTCTAATGGAAACCTGAATTTAGAGGATAACAATAAGTGTACACTCAAGGATTGGATACTCTTCCTTGGTCTAGTTTGTCTCTCCAAACATCACAAACTGAAGTATATTAGATGAATGCATGTCTTCCACACCATATAGTAAACTTGTTGAACACAGGAATGATCTAATCTTACTCTTCTTTATAATTTCCCCAAACCTAGTTTAGTGTCATGTATAAACATGTATTGAATTAAATTAAATTTTAATATTTTCAAGGGTTAATGTTACTATTAATTATAATAACAAACAAAATGAACAGGCAGAACAGAAACATTCTTATAGATACAGAGAACATTTTGTTGGTTGCCAGATGGGAGGGGGTTTGGGGGAATGGGTGAAAAAGGTGAAGAGATTAAGAAGTACAAATTGGTTGCTAGACTGACAAAGGGAAGGGGGTTGAGGGGTGGGAAGAAATAAACCAAAGAACTTATATGCATATATGCATAACCAATGGACACAGACAACAGTGTGGGAAAAGGCGGGGGGGGGGGGGCAGGGGTTGGGGAGGGGGAGGAGGTCAATGGGGGAAAAATGAGGACCATCTATATACATTCAACAATAAAGATAAGTTTTTTTAATAAGTTACAGATGTTGCCTCTATTTTTTTATGCACAATTTTTAATGTTACTATTAATTATAAGTCTCTTATAAAAGGCAGAACAGTAAATACCATTTAATTTTGAATTTATGAATTATCTCCTTAAAAAAAAATGCATCCTCTCTCCCCTCCTAATAATAATAATAGCACGGATAGCTCTTTAAAGGTTTTGACTATATCTTCTAAATCATTGCTCCTCCCATATATTTTTTAATGTAATGACTACCTAGGATTTGGGCTCAGAGAGAACAATCAATATAGACCGGTTTCCTTGCTACATGATCATATGTTAAATAACTATGAGTGTACTTCCATGGTCAGCTATGAAACTGATTTTAAGTGTCAGCATTTGGGCTTGCTTCACAGAACAGAGATTAACAGACCCCCTAAAATGAATCAGAGTTTAAATCTCACGTCCAGTGTACACATTCTTATATTGTGTTTACAAGATTGATTGCAGCTTTAAAGGCCTAGTTTAGAGGCACAGACAATCTGAGGAAACACAATCTTGCCTCTTCATCACATTATTCTGAGTCATTTTTGTTTGGGGCGGTGCAGCATGTCTCACCTGTTGAAACTTGGCGTAAGCACTATACTAAGTGAATAGGTCTAGAGCTGTGATAGGAAATCAATATTTTAAAAAATAGCACTTCACCAGTCCTTTTCTGAGGGCTTGAGAGCCCCTGCAGTGTGAATAGACAGCGAACCAGGCAGAGCTCGCGCTCAAGTGAGAGAACACAGAAAGGACCATAATAATGTGCTTTTCTCAAAGTAATTCTTCTTTTGGCCACAGAACAAATTAAGTTGTTTTCTATTGTAGAAAACAATAGAAAAAGGTTGGACAGTTTCCTAAGGCCATGAGGCAATTTGATGTTAAAATTGAAGCAGGGTTACATTTCATAAAATAATCCTTTTTTTTTTTTTTTTTTTTTTTTTTTTGTTCCCCAGCTAAACTGTTCAGAAATGTGATGATCAATACTGCCTTAATTTTACATACAAGTATTCTGGTGGAAAAAAAAAATATCACAGTGAGGTTTAGGTCCTTCATTGTCTAATGTTTGGTTGTTAGATTGAAAAGTTTATCCCACCCCGGACAGTGTGGTTCAGTGGTTGAGCATCGACCCATACACCAAGAAGTTGCTGGTTCGATTCCCGGTCAGGGCACATGCCCAGGTTGTGGGCCCGATCTCCAGTGCGGGCCATGCAGGAGGCGGCCAACCGATATTCTCGCTCATCGATATTTCTATCTCTCTTTCCCTTTCCCTTCCTCTATCTCTAAAAATCAATAAAGAAAAAAAAAATTAAAAAAGGTTTATCCCCATACTGTATTTTCTTTTGAAATATTGATTTGGTTTAACCTTACTTCCCTTTTTCTTTTGTTCTAAAACTACCTGGATGCACAATATTAAATAAATAATAACCATAATAATAGCTAACATGTATTGAATCCTTATAAAATATCAGACATGCTGTTGAGCACTTCATGTAAACCTTATTTAATTTAATACCAGAAGAATCCCATGGGAATATGACCTGTACTTCTGCGTATGGAATATAAGTAAGTGTTCCCAGTTCTGTACTTCTTTGCACAAGCCTCACCCATAATCACTATCTATATTTTCTGGTTTTAGATTCATTAAAGTAGATTAAGCATTTAAAGACATAAAGCAGAATCATTTTGGATTTGTTTTGAATTTATCCTAACATTTTAGCATTATATTTTAACACCTAATTCTGTAGAATTTTATTTTCAGTAACTCAACTTTATCGGGTCTTTCCAAAATATCATCACAGAAATAGTAATTCTGTTATGCATTCATATGTCATTAGTTTACCCAATTTATAATTGAATCTAATAATTATATGAACAAGTACAATTGGCAGAGCAGGTTTGGAAACAGACTCCTGGTCCACATACATCTGCACAGGTGGGGTCAGAAGTTTACAGGTGGGCTAGAGGGACAGCAGGTGAGGCCCTGGTGGTGAGTCAGCTATAAGCATCAGTAGGCTATATCTAGAGAAGGGAGAATGTTGCTTAATTAGGGAAATCATTTAAAGGGAGGCCAGTTAACAGAACCTTTGTTGTATTTGATACTTTATGTATGCATTACTTTGATCAAATTAAAATAAAAACTATATTTTTTTAAATGGAGGGAAAGTGAGAAAGGAACTGACTTTAGGTAATTAAATAAAAAATAATAATTTTTTTTT